GTGTGCTCTTCCGATCTAATATTTTATTTCAAACCACAAAAATATTTTTTAATAAATTGTTTAAATTATTCAAAATTATATGCAGCAAAAGTTTAATGCCATTGTCTTTCCAAATAACTTTAAGTTTTGTAAAACAGACTTAAAGTTATTAAAATGATCAATAGAATAATAGTGAAGCAAAAACTTGACCATTATGTAAAATTTTTTCTTTTTTTTAAATGATTAGTATCTCGATAACTGTTGTGAAGATCGCAAAATAGTAGAGAACTTTTTTGTTCAGTTTGGTCCACACTACCTGCCCACAAGCGTTGTACCATTGAGTACGAGACACTCATATACATATATATATATATATATATATATACCTTCATTATACGATAAAATATTAAAAGTTATATAATGAAAATGTTATACCCAACAAGTAGAACGTTGTTTGCAGATGCTCGCTGAATCCCATCCTGTGTTGCACTCATCCCAGGTATGACATCCCTATATTTCTGTAGAAGATGCATTATGCAGTTAGTACATGCACAAAAAGATTTGATGTTCTTAAAGTACATTGTGTTAATGACACACACATACACACACGCACACGCCCAACCTACCCATCTCTATTTTTCTATAAGAGTGTTTAAAGACGTTTTTATTATCTATATGAAGATTATCAGTAGAGTTTTTGTGTGTATGCATATGTATATATGAATTTGTCATACAATAGATGGTATTATGAATTCTATGATACATGAGCAATTTGTAACAACGTATACTTAAATTGCTATATAGACATAAAAATGATATTTTTGATAACGATCTTTTTATGTTGTACTTTTTTCATGTTACAGAGGTTTCTTCCGAAGTGATAGCCTGCTTGGTACAGTAATGGTCAAGTTACAACCGCTAGAGTCTCAGTGCACTTTACATGATTCTTTTCCAGTAATTAAATTATTAATATTTTTATATTCCGTGTAAATAGTTGTACATAAAATAAAAGAACTCATCATTTATTTCAGCTTATGGATGGCAGAAAAGCAACGGGAGGAAAACTGGAGTTAAAAGTCCGTCTTAGAAATCCTATTCTTTTTAAGCAAATTGAGAATATCACAGATAAATGGCTAACTATTGATCAATAATTCAATTTACTTCGCCGAAAATTTACTTTGCTATTGATGTATTATGAAGCTTTTGAAAACAGGACGTCAAAAATAAGATACTGTTTTTCAATATTGTATATTAATAATAATACAAGTAAGATAAAAACAATGTATATGTTTACATAAAAACAATAAGCAAGCTATAAATAAAAAATGTAAATAACCTGTATGTAATTATAATAGATAAACTACATGCTGTTTTTATTTAATTTATATTTAATATAAATATATATGAATGCATATAAATTTAATCATTTTTTATAAAGTAAAATGTCCATCGAATTAATTACATTTATACAAAGTGTCCCAATTTAAATATAAAACTTCGGAAGCGTGTGGAGAATCGATAAGCTAAAAAAGCCCTTTAAAAATATCGTTTTTGCTTCGTTTTGGAGAAAATTGCAAATAAACAAATTGATGACGTATTTTTATACTTATTACTTATTTATCACTTATTTATTCACGTTGTCACTTGCTTAATGTAGATGTTGTTCAAAATGTTAGTCTCTTGCAGCAATGATTTAAAAGATTTTAAATGCAACCAGATATATAGATTTTTTGGAAAATAATTTCTCTAATTATTTAGAAGACATCCATCTGCAGCAACAGATTGAAGTATGATTCCAATTCTGGATGGGTCAGCTCATGGTACAGTTACTCGAGTTTGACTAGACAGAATTAGTCACGACGATAGATTAGACACGAAATAGTATCTTGACTACTTTGATCATCTGATCTGACATCATTGGACTTCTTTGTATGGGGGAGGGAAAGGGGCTAAAACAAATTTTATTTGTTGCCATTCAATTTAAGAAAGCAATTGAGAGACCGAATCGTGGCTACAGTGTACCAAATATCAGATCAGTGTTTGGCTGCAACACGAGCTGTCCATACTAGATACAGGGGTTGGACAAAATAATATAACACCATGCAATATAGTATTCAATTTTGGTTAACGGTAACTCCGCGAAAAATCATCGTAAAATGATGAACTTTTTTTCAAATGAAAACTTGAAATCTCTACTTTAAGATACTGTGAGTCGATTTTTAATTTAATGCACCCCTGTTGCTGTAAACTCTTAAATCTGAGAGCATGTTTGCTACACTGAAAATTGCAAAGTTTGAACGAGTGCACGGACTTGCTAAAATTTTTCCCGGGGATGCGGTTTCCAGCGTCATAAAATTGGAATCTTTCTC